GCTTCGGGGCCGGGATGTGGCGGCAGCTGAGGGCGCTGAGGGGCTGCGGGTGAGTGTGGGGTCCTTTCCTTTCCTTTCTTTTCCTTTCCTTTCCTTTCTTTTCCCTTCCTTTCCTTTTCCTTCCCTTTCCTGGCTCCCTTCCCGGGTGCCGCTCCTGCCTTCCCCAATCCCTCCGGGATCCGTCCCGCTGCCAACCGCGGGCACCGCCAGCCCTCAGTTCTCCTTGTTTTCCCCCTTTTCCCAGTTCCTCTTGTTTCCTCCTCTTTTCCTGCCCTTTTCCCCCTCGTTTTCCCCTTTGTTTTTCCCTCCCTCCCCCCGTTTTCCACAGTTTACCCCGTGTTTCCCCCTTCACTCTTGTTTCCACCTGTTTTCCACTGCTTCCTCCTTCTTTTCCCCCTTGCTTTCTCTTTTTTCCTCCCTCTTTTTACCTTTGTCTCCCCGCTTTCCCCCTCGTTTTTCCCCATGTTTTCCCTTCCTTTTTCTCCCGTTTTCCCCCCTTTTTTGGTGGGTGTTATGCTGAATTTCAGGGGCTGGGCGGCTGCCAAAGCTCCGCTGTCCCCGGGGCGCTCCGGGGGTGCCAGGCCGGCTTTTGCCCCCTGGACTTTGCCAGGAGCATTGCGATATTGGAGCAGCTCCGGAGCTCATCCTGGGCCTCATCCTTTAAAAATCCCTTTCCCAGCGCTTTTTTCCCGAGCGTGGAGAAGGGGTGGTGGGGCTGGGGGCTCGGTTCTGGCATCCCCATCCAGCGGGAGGGATGGAGCGGGGGATGGCTGGGGAGGGCAGCCCGGGATGGAGGTGTCCCTGGGATGGAGGTGTCCCTGGGATGGAGGTGTCCCCAGGATTGAGGTGTTCCCAGGACTGAGGTGTCCCTGGGATGGAGGTGTCCCTGGGATGGAGGTGTCCCCAGGATTGAGGTGTCCCTGGGATGGAGGTGTCCCTGGGATGGAGGTGTCCCCAGGATTGAGGTGTCCCCAGGACTGAGGTGTCCCCAGAATTGAGGTGTCCCCAGGATGGAGATGTCCCCAGGACTGAGGTGTTCCCAGGATGGAGATGTCCCCAGGACTGAGGTGTCCCCAGGACTGAGGTGTCCCCGGGACTGAGGTGTCCCCAGGACTGAGGTGTCCCCGGGATTGAGGTGTCCCCAGGATGGAGATGTCCCCAGGACTGAGGTGTCCCCAGGATTGAGGTGTCCCCAGAATTGAGGTGTCCCCAGGACTGAGATGCTGGGGAAGGAGAGAACGGGGGGATCTCAGCGGTTCCTGTCCTGCCCCTGTGCCAGGCGGAGATGGCAGCACCGCCCGGCCATCCAGGTGACCAACGAGCCCATTCTGGAGTTCAAGCCAGGGAGCCCCGAGCGAGCAGCGCTCCAGAAGGTACCAGCGCTGGGATTTGGGGATTTTGGGGGCTGGAAGGGCCGGGGTTGTGCTGCACAGCAGCCCCAGCCTCTCCCTGGTGTGACAGCCCCATCCTGCCCAGCTCCTGAGGGCACCCCATGCCCCCGGAGCCTGTTCCCAGTGGGAAGGGGGATGGAGGGCAGCTGGAGCAGGTGGGAGCTGCTCCCACCACGTTCTCTCTGCCAGGCCCTCGCTGACCTGAAGGGCAAGACCGAGGAGATCCCGTGTGTCATCGGCGGGGAGGAGGTGTGGACACCCACGGTGAGGTACCAGCTCTCGGTGAGTCCTTCAACTCTCATTAAATGGGGGAGAACAGAGCAGGAGGGTGCTGGGACTGCTTCCTACAGAGCCTTTTCTTCTCTTCCCAGCCCTTCAACCATGCACACAAGGTGGCCAAGTACTGCTATGCCAGCAAGGTGAGTGCACCTCTCTGTCCCAGCCCCCTTTCCTGGCTGTGTTTTGGGGAAGACCCAAGCCTGGGTCTAGCAAGTGAAATGCATTTTGTGAGCGGGGAGCCTTTCCAAGCCCCTGAGATCCTGGAACAAACCCACACCTGCAGATTTGGGGTTGTGATGGCACCAGTGGTTTGTGCCTGGAGTGGATGGTGGCCCCTCGCTTTTCCCCGAGAGCTGGTGGTGGAGAAGAACCTGGAGAAGTTCCTCCTTGCTGCCTTTTCCCCTTTGCCTCCACAGGAGCTCATTAACAAAGCCATTAACGCTGCCTTGGCAGCCAGGAAGGAATGGGACCTGAAACCTGTGCAGGACCGGGCCCAGATCTTCCTGAGGGCGGCCGACATGCTGAGCGGCCCACGGCGAGCAGAAGTGCTGGCCAAGACCATGGTGGGGCAGGTAGGAGGTGCAGGACAAGGTGGGGGAGCTGGGGGAAGCAGGAGGGAGCTGGGGGAAGCAGGAGGGAGCTGGGGAGAGCAGGAGGGAGCTGGGCTAAGCAGGAGGGAGCTGGGGGGAGCAGGAGGGAGCTGGGGGGAGCAGGAGGGAGCTGGGCTAAGCAGGAGGGAGCTGGGCTAAGCAGGAGGGAGCTGGGCTAAGCAGGAGGGGCTGCCTGGGTGGGTTTTGGCCCTGGGGAATGGCTGGAGGTGCTCAGGGTGATCCTCACTCCTTGCTGCTCAGGATCAGCGTTGAGGCCGTGCGGGATCTTTGGGATCTGATCTTGGGAGGGGCACCCCACAGCAGCACTGCTGCATTCCCCCTTCCCCTCACGGCCTGGGACCTCTCCCCTTGCAGGGTAAGACGGTGATCCAGGCGGAGATCGACGCCGCTGCCGAGCTCATCGACTTCTTCCGCTTCAACGCCAAGTACGCGCTGGAGCTGGAGCAGAGCCAGCCCCTCAGCGTGGACATCAGCACCAACTCCATGGTGTACCGGGGGCTGGAGGTGAGCTGAGCGCCCCCTGCCCCACGTGGGGTCACTCCTGGGGGGCAGGAGGCTCCCAATGGTCCCTGTCCCTCCACAGGGGTTCGTGGCTGCCGTGTCCCCCTTCAACTTCACGGCCATCGGGGGGAACCTGGCGGGGGCTCCGGCGCTGATGGTGAGTTTTTGCTCTGAAGCAAGGTGTGCTTTCCTTCCCAGGCTGGGTTTGGGATCTGGGAATAAACACAGCAGAGGTTTGATTTCCTACCTGGGATCCAGGAATAAACACAGCAGAGGTTTGATTTCCTACCTGGGATCTGGGAATAAACACAGCAGAGGTTTGATTTCCTACCTGGGCTCCAGGTGCTGTCAGGACATGAAAGTGTAACCAGTTTGTAGCTGCTCACATTCCTCTGGGATGACATTTCTTGGGTGCAGTGGTTGTGTTAGGGCCAAGGAAGACAAGGGCAGGCCCAGAAGCTGCAAAAAAATAATTCAAAGTATTGGTAAAAAGCTTTTCTGCACGTTCCTGTTTGTGTCCCATGGAGCACAGGAGCCTCTGCAGGGTGGATTTTGGGGAGAGACAGGAATAACCTGGTAAACTGGGGCCAGGAATAATTAATTTATTGTTGCACTAGGAAAGAAAAAAAAGAAAACTCAACAAATTGTCCTTGGCTCTTTGCTAATTAGGCTTGGATTTCCTGCCCCAAAGAGGCTGGAGAACACGGAGCTTTTATTTGGGAAGATCACATTTGAGTGAGAGTGGAGCATTTGTGTAGGGGGAGAGGGCGAAGTCACCATGGGAGGATTCCTGGGGAGAAATCTCCCTTCTTCCCACCCCGGGATCCGAGGGAGACACCCCTTGGCTTTGGGAAATCTGGGATGAGCTCCTCCCTGAGCGGCTGAGCCCTGCTGGGACGGGACAAACAGCTCGGTGTGACAATCTGGGACATCCCGTGGCTCACCCTGCTCGGGGTGACAATGAGTTCCCAGCAGGGTGAGGCAGCAGAAGGCAGCAGGACAAGGAAAAGCTCAGCAGCAGGGGGCACCTGGAATTACAGCTTGCTTTGTGGGGGGATGTTAATTAGAGCCTCAGCGTTTCCATCATCACAGGGGGATTAGACGCCGGAGAGATCCATGCAGGCAGTCCTGGGGATGGGATTTCCTCGGGATCAGAGCAGTTCCGGATGCTGGGAATGCTGTGGCTGGGATTTCCCAGCTGCCTGCGGGTTTCTGCAGGGTGTGGGTTATTCCTCTGGCTGTTTGGGGTAGTTTATTATTCCTCTGGATGTTTGGTGTGGGTTATTCCTCTGGGTGTTTGGGGTAGTTTATTATTCCTCTGGGTGTTTGGGGTAGTTTATTCCTCTGGGTGTTTGGTGTGGATTATTCCTCTGGATATTGGGTGTGGATTATTCCTCTGGATATTTAGTGTGGATTATTCCTCTGGGTGTTTGGTGTGGATTATTCTTCTGGGTGTTTGGGGATAGTTTATTATTCCTCTGGGTGTTTGGTGTGGTTTATTCCTCTGGATGTTTGGTGTGGATTATTCCTCTGGATATTGGGTGTGGATTATTCCTCTGAATGTTTGGAGGGGAAGGATTGGAGTGATCCAGGAAGGATTGGAGTGATCCAGGAAGGATTGGAGTGATCCAGGAAGGATTGGAGTGATCCAGGAAGGATTGGAGGGGCCCAGGAAGGATTGGAGAGGCCCAGGAAGGATTGGAGGGGCCCAGGAAGGATTGATCCAGGAAGGATTGGAGTGATCCAGGAAGGATTGGAGGGATCCAGGAAAGAGCAGTGCCCAGGAGGGAGCTTTTCCTGCACAACAAAAGGATTTTCTCCCGGAAAAAAAAAAGGTTTTTCTCTGGAAATCAGGAGACAAGAGTCCAAACTCCCCGTGCAGCCCTCCCCAGGGCTGTGACCCCGTGCAGCACAGGCCAGGCCGTGTGACAGGGACACCGGGGGGGTCACAGGGAGGCGGTGGCACAGGGCCAGGGGGGGTGGAGTGTCACCAGCAGAGCTCTCCAGCCCCTGGTGCTGCTCATTAATCCGGGCAGGAGCTTTGGTTTCACAAACACCTGCTGGGCCAAGCTCCTCCTGGGGAAGGCAGGAGGGTGTGGAAGGCTGGCACAGCCTCTCTGCTGAGAGAAAAGGGGGGATTTGTGCCCCCTCAGCTGTCGGGGTGAAGGTGGGGTGTGGCTTTTTTCCCCAAGCTGGAAATGAAACTCCAGATGGTTTTAGTAAGGAGGTGAGACAGGAGCAGATCTTCGTTTGAAGGCAGGGGCAGTCGTGGAGAGGCATCCACAAAATTCACACGGGGTGAGCACATCTTCATGGGGTTTAATAAATTAGCATAATTGATCAAAAATGCTAATTAGGAGGACAAGCAGTGATGGCCAAGCCCTGGCTGTGTTCTGTCCATGAAATTCATCTCCCAAAAGTTGTTCTTGGCTCTCAGGAAGAACCAAGACAGCGCTGGGGCCGCGTTCCCCCCGGGGCTTGGAGCTCTGGAATTCTTGCCTTTCCATGGCAAAAAAAGCACTGGGAAAACCAGCCATTAACACAACAGGCTACAAACAGATATTCAGAGGACACAGGGGAGCACAGAAAAGAGCAAAAAGTCTGGGGATCCCCTCTCTGGCCCGGTTTTCCAGGGAATTCTCCTCCTCCCAGGGGAACGTGGTGCTGTGGAAGCCCAGTGACACCGCCCTGCTCTCCAGCTACGCCGTCTACAAGATCCTGCTGGAGGCTGGGCTGCCCCCAAACGTGGTGCAGTTCGTGCCCTCGGATGGCCCCGAGTTCGGGGACACCGTCACCAGCTCCGAGCACTTCTGCGGCCTCAACTTCACCGGCAGCGTGCCGTAGGTTGGGGACAGGGGACAGGGAGGGCTGGGGGCTCCTCTGGGGACACCAGGCTGGCCTTGGGAAGGGCTGCAGCAGTGGTGGCAGGGTTAGATCAAAACCGGGGTTAAAACTGGGGACAAAAAGTGTCTGAGCCGGGTTTTGGTGCTGGCGGGGAGTGGTTTTAGTTCTGTGGCTGAGCTCGGGGTACAGGAGCAGCCAGAGTGGCAGTGACGCTCCCAGGGCTGCTCTGAGGCTGCTCCAGGTGGGTTTTCCCCTCCAGGTGAGTTTTCCCCTAGGTGGATTTGCTCTCCAGGTAGGTTTCCCTCCCAGGTGAGTTTTCCCCTAGGTGGATTTGCTCTCCAGGTAGGTTTCCCTTCCAGGTGGGTTTTCCCTCAGGTAGATTTTCCCCCAGCTGGGTTTTCTGTCCAGGTAGGTTTCCCCTCCAGGTAGATTTCTCCCCCTAGATGGGTTTCTCCCTCCAGGTGGCTTTTTCCCCCCAGGTAGATTTTCCCCCCAGGTGGGTTTCTCTCCAGGTAGGTTTCCCTTCCAGGTGGGTTTTTCCCCAGGTGGATTTGCTCCCAAGCTGGGTTTTCCATCCCAGCTAGGTTTTCCCCCCAAGTGGGTTTTCCCTCAGGTAGATTTTCCCCCCAGGTAGGTTTCCCCTCCAGGTAGGTTTTCTCTCCAGGTGTGTTTTCTCCCCAGGTAGATTTTCCCCCAGGTGGGTTTTCCCTCAGGTAGTTTTTTCCCCAGGTAGGTTTTCTCTTCAGGTAGGTTTCCCTCCCAGGTGGGTTTTCCCTCAGGTGGATTTGCTCCCAAGTTGGGTTTTCCATCCCAGGTAGGTTTTCTCTCCAGGTGAGTTTCCCCCCAGGTGGGTTTCCCTTCCAGGTGAGTTTTTCCCCAGGTGGATTTGCTCCCAAGGTGGGTTTTCCACCCCAGGTAGGTTTTCTCTCCAGGTGGGTTTTCCCTCAGGTAGATTTTCCTCCAGGTGGGTTTTCTGTCCAGGTAGGTTTTCTCTCCAGGTGAGTTTTCCCTCAGATAGATTCGTTTTTCCCCAGATGGGTTTCTCCCCCCAGGTAGATTTTCCCCCCAGGTGTGTTTTCCCCCCGTGGGTTTGCTCCCCTGGGCTCTGGCTGTGTCCCGTGGGGTGTCAGAGGTGCTGAGGGGTCCCTGCAGGAGCCGCCAGCCCCCGGGACCCCTCCCCAGGCCCGGGCCACGCTCGGCTGAGCTCCGGGCTGGGCAGGTGGGAGCTCGGGGCTCCGTGTTCCTGCCTCCCGCTGCGAGGCCATTTCCATTTTTATTGTTTTCCAGACGGGTTTGTCACAGTAAGGCCTGAGGGGAAGGGGGGAAAGGGGAGGAACAGAAACTTCTGGATGCTCACTCCCTGCTCCTGCAACAGTTCATTTTTAAATCCATGGAGCTGCTGTGGGGAGCCTTTGTTTGGTGCCTGTGCTCTCAGTCCCACTTCCCTGTGCAGGACATCCCGTTTTTGGGGGGTTTCCCATCAGAGCATCCCATTTTTGGAGGGTTTCCCATCAGGACATCCCATTTTTGGGAGGGTTTCCCATCAGAGCATCCCATTTTTGGGAAGGTTTCCTATCAGGACATCCCATTTTTGGGAGGATTTCCTATCAGGACATCCCATTTTTGGAGAGTTTCCCATCAGGACACCCCTTTTTGGAGGGTTTCCCATCAGAGCATCCCATTTTTGGGGGATTCCCATCAGAGCATCCCATTTTTTTGAGGATTTCCATCAGGACATCCCATTTTTGGAGGGTTTCCCATCAGAACATCCCATTTTTGGGAGGATTTCCCATCAGAACATCCCATTTTTTGGAGGGTTTCCCATCAGAACATCCCATTTTTGGGAGGGTTTCCTATCAGGACATCCCATTTTTTGAGGATTTCCCATCAGGACAACCCTTTTTGGGCAGGTTTCCCATCAGGGCATCCCATTTTTTGGGGGATTTCCATCAGAACATCCCATTTTTGGGAGGATTTCCCATCAGGACCCATCACTCCCCTGCATGCAGAGCCAGGAGTGCCCTGACCAGCTCCTCCCTCCTCTTCCAGGACTTTCAAGCGCCTCTGGAAGCAGGTCTCGGAAAACCTGGATCGCTACCGCAATTTCCCGCGCCTGGCTGGAGGTACCAGCCCCTCCTCCCACATTTTTTGGGGGATGCAGGGGTGAGGGGGCAGAATTCCCATCCCTGTGGGCCCTGGAAATCACTGGATATTCAGAGTTCTGGGCACAGGATGGGATTTTAGGGCGGGAAACCTCCATGTGCTGCACTCTTCCATCTCCTCCTTTTCCATCTCTTTTCCCTTTTTCCCTGTGTTTCAGAGTGTGGAGGGAAGAATTTCCAAGTGCTGCACTCTTCCCTCTCCTCCTTTTCCATCTCCTTTTCCCTTTTCCCTTTGCTTTAGAGTGTGGAGGGAAGGATTTCCAAATGGTGCACTCTTCCATCTCCTCCTTTTCCATCTCTTTTTCCCGTGTTTCAGAGTGTGGAGGGAAGGATTTCCATGTACTGCACTCTTCCATCTCCTCCTTTTCCATCCCTTTTCCCTTTTTCCCTGTGTTTCAGAGTGTGGAGGGAAGAATTTCTGTGTGCTACACTCTTCCATCTCTTCCTTTTCCATCTCTTTTCCCTTTTTCCCTGTGCTTTAGAGCATGGAGAGAAGAATTTCCATGTGCTGCACTCTTCCATCTCCTTTTCCCTTTTCCTTTTGCTTTAGAGTGTGGAGGGAAGGATTTCCACATGGTGCACTCTTTCATCTCCTCCTTTTCCATCTCTTTTCCCTTTTTCCCGTGTTTTAGAGTGCAGAGGGAAGAATTTCCATGTACTGCACTCTTCCATCTCCTCCTTTTCCATCCCTTTTCCCTTTTCCCCTGTGTTTCAGAGTGTGGAGGGAAGGATTTCCAAATTGTGCACTCTTCCATCTCCTTTTCCCTTTTTTCCTGTGCTTTAAAGTGTGGAGGGAAGGATTTCCACGTGGTGCACTCTTCCATCTCCTCCTTTTCCATCTCTTTTCCCTTTGCTTTAGAGTGCGGAGGGAAGGATTTCCATGTACTGCACTCTTCCCTCTCCTCCTTTTCCATCTCTTTTCCCTTTTCCCGTGTTTCAGAGTGCGGAGGGAAGAACTTCCACGTGGTGCACAGCTCGGCGGACCTGGGCAGCGCCGTGAACGGGACCCTGCGCTCTGCCTTCGAGTTCGGCGGCCAGAAATGCTCCGCCTGCTCCCGGCTCTACGCTCCGGCCTCGCTGTGGCCCCACATCAAAGAGAAGCTGCTGGAGGAGCACGGGAAGATCAAAGTGGGAGATGTGAGCGGAGCTGCCGGGCTGCTGAAGGGCTTTGCGGCTCAGCGGGAGGCTGATGGGATTAGGGGCTGCGGGAACCGGCTGCTAATTCCCATTGAAGCGAGCTTTTCATCCCCGCCTGCTCTGCTGCTTCTCCCCCCCTTCCTCCTCCTCCTCCTCCTCCTGGCCGTGATTAGAAATTAACTTGTAGCCGGGAGTGTGCGGGGAGGGCTCTGCCGGGAGAAGGGCGGCCCCTGGGATGGGTTTTTGGGGGGAATGGTGGCAGCTCTGGGGTGCGGGGTGTGCTCTCATCCCCTCCCTGCTGCCTCCCCGCAGCCCACCCAGGACTTTGGGACCTTCTTCTCGGCGGTGATCGATGCCAAGGTGAGCTCAGAGCGGGCCCCGGGCTCCCCCAGCTGTGGGGTTGGGGCAGCTGGGGCCAGGTGTCAGCTGAGCTCCTGAAAAGTGGGGAATTTCCCCCAGAAATCCTCCTGGATGTGAGGGTTTTGTGTGTGTTCCCTTCTCCCTGCCAGGAGGGCACCGAGAGAGGAGTGACCCAAACCCCCTTTTGAACCCCCAAACCCCCTTTTGAACCCCCAAACCCCCTTTTGAAACCCCAAACCCCCTTTTTAAACCCCCAAAGTCCCTTCCAGACCCCCAAACCCACT